TGGATCTGGTTACTTAGCAGGAAAGGAGAGCTAACAATGGATGACATCAAGGAGTCCGGGGTTTTATGTCTATTTTGATTCTGGCTTCACTTAAGAGATCAGTTGCGACCAGATGCGTAACACAATCAATATTAAGACACAAGGGGAAAGGAACAAGACAGATAAAGTAGATGTACTCCATTTGGCAGGGCCTGATGAACTTCACCATAGGATACTTACGGAACTAGCTAAATCAATTTCAGAACTTTAAGCAGTTATCAAGAACTCACATGAGTGAGAGCCCATAGGACTTGCATGGGCAAACTTAGTACAACGAAGCTTTATCACCTGGCACTCTGTTAACCAGAATATTTTAACCGGCATTGCCCCCAGCCACAATACTGCTGCATCTTCAGGCACATGCACCTAACTCCCATCTGTCAAACCTGCCATTGTGGTGTGTCTGACAACCGGTACTGCTGGCTGATGTCATCAGCAGGTGCCTCCTTCCCCCTCAAGCTGCTGGGAGCCAGATCTGCCAGTAGGGAGTGGGAGCAGAAGAATAAGCTTTGTTATCCAGCACATTCAGTTAATTGGCAGCCCCCATTCCCATGAGTGCTGGATAACAAAGCTTTCTTTATACCTATATTTTAAAAAGGAAACAAACTGGATCTGGGAAATTATAGATCAGAAAGCCCAACTTCAATACATAGCAAGATACTGAAACAAATGATTAAACAATTGGTTATTAAGTGCCTAGAGAATAATATGGATACAAGGATCAATCCCCATGAACGTCAAAAACAAATCATGCCAAAACAATTTAATTTACTTTTACAACAGGATTAGTGGACTGTGGTGGAAGCTGTAGACATAATATATCTTGATTTTAGTAAGGTCTTGGGCACAGTGCTACATGACATTTTCATCAGAAAACTAAGAAAAGATGGTGTAGATGTATTACTATATGCTGTATGCACAACTGTCTAAAAACTATACTCTTACAAGAGTAGTTATCAGTGGCTCTCAGTAAAAGTAGAAGGATGTATCTAGGGGCATCCTACAAGGGTTTGCCCTGGGTCCAGTACTGTTCAATATTTCCATTAATGACACAGGTAATGGAGTGGGGAGAGTGTGCTCATATAACTTGAATAAGACCTCAAATGGAGAAGAGTTGCAAACAATTTGGAGGACAAAGTGGAGAACGGTCTGAATTGAACAAGATGGCATTCAGTAAAGACGTGGTTACAATGGATCACAAATTGAATATGAGCCACTCATGATGCAGCTGCAAAAAAGGCCCCTGTTCTAGAGTGACAGGAGATTCATAAGTAAGATGAGAGCTAGTTAGCCTACTCTATTCAGCACTGGTGAGGCCTCAGCTGGAGTTATATCTAGTTCCAAGCCCCACGCTCTAGGCAAATGACGACTAATTGGAGAGAGTCCATAAGAACATAAGATTGGCCATACTGGGTCAGACCAAAGGTCCATCCAGCCCAGTATCCTGTCTGCTGACAGTGGCCAATGCCAGGTGTCCCAGAGGGAGTGAATCGAACAGGTAATGATCACATGATCTCTCTCCTGCCATCCATCTCCACCCTCTGACAAACAGAGGCTAGAGTTACCATTCCCTACCCATACTGGCTAATAGCCATTTATGGACTTAGCCTCCATGAACTTATCTAGTTCTCTTTTAAACCCTGTTATAGTCCTAGCCTTCACAACCTCCGCAAGGAGTCCCACGGATTGACTATGCGCTGTGTGAAGAACTTCTTTTTATTTGTTTTAAACCTGCTACCCATTAGTTTCATTTGGTGGCCCCCTACTTCTCATATTATGGGAACAAGTAAATAACTTTTCCTTATTCACTTTCTCCACACCACTCATGATTTTATAGACCTCTATCATATCCCCCCGTAGTCTCCTTTTTTCCTAGCTGAAAAGTCCCAGTCTCTATAATCTCTCCTCATATGGGACCCGTTCCAAATGGCTAATCATTTTAGTTGCCCTTCTCTGAACCTTTTCCAGAGAAAACTAAGAAAAGTAACAAAAAGTTTAGAAAACCTGACCTATGGGGAAAGTTTAAAAATATGGGCATGTTTCTCCTTGAGTAAACAAGACTGAGGAAAGGCCTGATAGTACAGGCAGTCCCCGGGTTACATGGATCCGACTTACATCGGATCCCTACTTACAAACGGGGTGAGGCAACCCCGCACTAACTGCTTCCCCCCAGCAGACCAGGGAGATGCGAAGCTAGTGCCCTCCCCCTCCCCCCAACAGACCAGGGAGACGCAGAGCGGCTTTTCTCAGCAGACACCTCAGCTTGAGAATAAAGGACTGAAGGAAGTGAGGTGTGGGAGAATAAAACTGAGCTCTGGAGAAATGTTTGGCTAGAGTTTCCCCTACAATATGTACCAGTTCCGACTTACATACAAATTCAACTTAAGAACAAACCTACAGTCCCTATCTTGTACGTAACCCGGGGACTGCCTGTACTCTTGAAATATGTTAAGGACTGTTATAAATAGGTCAGTGATCTATTGTCCTCCAGGCCCATTGATGGTAGGACAAGAAATAATCAGCTTACTGCAACAGAGGTGGATTTAGGTTAGATACTTGAAACAGCTGTCTAACTATTAAGATATTTAAGTAGTGGTGAAGGGTTCTAAAGGAGGTTGTTGACTCCTGTCACTGGAGGATTTTAAGATCGAATAGACAAACACCAGTCAGGGATGGCCTAGAAACTTGGTTCTGCTTCAGTGAGGGATCCCAGACTACAGGCACTCTCAAGGACCCTTCCAGCCCTTCAGTTCTGTGATTTTATATCTCCGGATTGTGGTTTTCCAGTGACCCAATTCAATTTACACCCACTGAAGAAATTGGAATTCATATGCCCAGGATTATTGTATTTTTCGTCTGCAAGGTTTTCATAAGCATTTTCTGAGAACAGAAATCTCTGCTTAGAAGGAAATTTGCTATTATTTGAGAGAATGCTCCAATAATTTGCAAGTTTAACATTTCATTGAATGCACTATAAAAGCTAGGGCTGAACTTATTCAAAATATTTGAGCTTTGAGTGAACATTTTGTATCTTATTTATTGCTTATTAAAACTAGTAGCAATAGTATGGTAGGCAAACTGGTGCATTACAATATGCAACAGTACAGAAAATCTCTCTTTTGTAGTTAAAATGTTGTGTTCCTATTGTATTGATACAGAGTAAGTGGAGCACAAGTATTTGTCATTGGTGAGCATTCATAAAATTTAGGCCAGAAGGCATTAGATCATTTAAGGTGACTGGCTGTCTGTCATGGACCATTAAATTTCACTCCCTTACCATAATACTGACAATAATGACTTGTGTTTGGCTAAAGCACATCAGCCAGGGAGGCATCTAATCTTGATTTGCAGACATCAAGAGATGGAGTATCTACCACTGCCTTTGGTAGTTTGTTCTAATGGTTAATCACCCTCACTGTTGTAAATTTGTGCCTATTTTCTAATTTGAATGTCTGGTTTCAATTTCTAGTGACTGGATCTTCTTGTTCAGTTTTCCATGAAAGAGTTCTTTAGTACCAGGTATTTCCTTTCATTGGAGATACTTATATGCTGAAAACAAAGCACTTTTCAGTCTTCTTGATAAACTAAACAGATTTGGCTCTTTTCGATGTTTCACTCTTCAGCATTTTCTGGAGATCTTGAATATTTTTTGTCTGTTTTCTGTAAACTATTTTTAACATCATTTTAAAAATATGGGTGCCAGAGCTGTATATATTATAGTAATATTGGTCTTACCAAAGCCTTAATTTTGCCATTGAATGCTATTTAATGGGTATTACATCTGCATATCTGAGGGAGATTTGAGTTGTTTTGGTGTGAAACTGCTGTTCCAATGAGGATGGACCACTCACTCAGTGTGATATCTCACATATTCCTTGCCATGAATCTTCGTCTGTCAGGAGAAACCTTTAAATACATCTGTCTGAATGTTTCTGCTGGCTGCAAGAGAGGGTGTTTCTCTGTCTGCTTAAGCAGGTAGGATGGAAGAAGTTATTAGGTAGATGCAGGTTTAACTTTGAACACCATCATGCTGCTCAAACCTCAGATTTTATGACCCCACCTGGGTTTTCCCATTTGGTCTCTGGAAGGACCTAAACCTGAGTAAGTTTGTATCATGTGAGGTATCAACATCTTTGTGCATCTTTTGTAGACTCTTTAGCCCTACATGATCTTTCTAGTCGAGGAGATTAGCTCCGGCTTCTTTGTTAACCAAAATATGTCATTAGGAAAATAAATTATTGAAGGAGGCTTGTGCGAGAAAAGGTGGGCACTGCAGACTTTGGAAACATTTCTAAATCCTAACAGGAATATGGGAGTAGAGCAGAAAGGTAATACATGGAGTAAAATTAACAAACTAAAATTCAGTTATAATCTTCTCAGGTTTAATCTGTCATCTGGAAACTACAATTGATTTATCTGACACATCAACATTGCTCTAATATTCTGTTATGCAAGGTAAAAGCTGAAAGAATAGTACATTAAATGTCCATGACAATGGTAGAAGTTTATTCATCTAATTCTTCTATTTATGGTGTTCTTGCAAAAAAGTTCCAAAAGAGCCACATGTCGTTGCTTCCCTTTCCCTTTTTCTGGCTCTTACGGCCAGACCAGGAATTGTTCTTTCAGTTTTGTGCATCGCATGTGGCTCATGTAGCTGATCTTTAGGCTATGCTCAGTAGTGCCCCTAGAGCAGCGTGGAGCTGTTTCTCTGTGGACTTAGAAGAAGTTGGACAGAACACTTTTGCCCTGGCTCCCCCTCGCTCTGCAACTTTATGCTTTATGTCTATATGCGTATGGAAGACAGAATTTGGCCCATGAAATAGTAGTAAGAACTTTTTATCAGAGGTTTCTTCAGCTACTGATGCTGTGACATAAGTAAAACATGGTTACTAATGCATGTACCAAACATTCTTTCTTCACTGACAGGCAGGTCAATGCTTTTATTTTTTATCCCTTTGTAGCTTTGAAGTACAGCAAAGAAGTGAAATCCATTGAGAATAGTCTGTAAAGGTAAGTGTATTTATTACATTGCATTGACAAACATTGCCTTACAGCATTGATTTTTCTTTTATTCAGGGATTTAGGCATTTAAAGATATAGCTGACAGGACAACTTCTTTAACCACTTAGATGTCTCATCACTCAAAAAATGCTGAGCAATAGTTAGAAGCGAAATGTACGGAAACAAGTTGATGTGCTGAGGATGGCCGTATCTCAGAGCATGATCGCTGACTTATGCTTTGTTCACAGTGGTTAAGATATTCCAGTGTAGCTCTGTTCACTGTGATTAATGGTAGGTGTGATTTAAAAACAGCTACACTGGTATTGCTTCTGGTCAATAGCTGAATAAAGCCAGCTGGCAAAAGAAAACATTTAAAACAGAATGCAGAGTGGCATTTTGATCTTGTAGTATTAAATGTATTATGATAGTTGTGTAACAGTATGCGGCCAGCAACTCTGCAGAAAGTAGGAAATTATCCGACAGAGTTCGCTGCAAAGTTCTTCTCACTTTGTCACTTGGTTTTAAATGGATAAAAAGCAGAAATTAAAGTAATAGAGTACAATAGTTAGCCTTGTTTGCACTCTTTCAATAGCTTTCTTTTCTTTGAAGAAAATGTTTCTCCCATTGCTAGGTGTATTTATAAGTGTGCATTCCAGTTGCCCCTTTAGTCATACTTGAAATAGTACATGCAGAAAAGAAATTGAACGATAAATTGTTGGCTGTGACAAGGATCACTCTCATCAAGTGGCTTCACTGGACAGGTTAAAATAGTCGATGAGCTTGTTTTCAGTTTCAACAACAGTCATCTTTTAATTCTGAGAGTTTCTTCTGTCCATTTAATAAGAACTGACGGTAAAAACAGGGATAAAAATCAGCCTGCAACATAAAAGGCAGTTTTAGAAATTCACCACATTATGCAGTGAGATTTTAAATTGTTGTTGTCTTGCAATGTTGTCTATTGTAAACCACTGTGGTCAACTGTGAAAACATTTGTGCAACAGTAAATTTGTATAATATGGAAGAAAAGAGTGTATTTTAATGGCATAGTATGTGAGTGCAGCGAGGAGTCCTGTGGCACCTTATAGACTAACTGGAGTGTAGGAGCATAAGCTTTCGTGGGCAAAGACCCACTTCGTCAGATGCATGTCAGTGAGTGAAATTTAATTATTTTTCTGAGCATATTAACATTTTATGATATGGTAAATTGATTTTTAATGTTTATATCTGTAGTTCACTGTTTATAGATAGAAAACTGCCAACAAATTGGAACAAATATTTTTGTGGTGGATAAATGTATTTTTTAAAAGGAAAACTTTTTAGGGAAAAAAAATCTGTTCTTACTTATATATGTCAGCTGCAATTTATGGGTTTATAGCTGCTTGCACCTGCTTAATCTTATGTTTGTTAAGCAAATGCTGTATATAGTTACTTTGGTGGCAGCTGCTGTATCACAAGTGATAAGTAACCTCTGAACCAAACACCTGTGCTTTAACCCTTTGTATACTTGTCTTTAGGGTTGTAAGATGAGGACTGGAGATGAGTGAAGTTGGCTTCCATCTCTCTCACTTTTTCCTTCTCAGTTGCTTTTGTACCTCTGGATCTTTCTTATCCTAATCCTGCCCCACAACTCACTCTTCACCATAGAGCTGATCTGACCTAGGTGCCAAGCACAGTGCCCTCAGTTACTACCGTATTCCTGAGCAGCCAAGGGTTTTCTGTTTCCTGGAGGCTGAGCAGGGAGGAAGAAAGGTTTTTTGTAGGAGACAGTGATTGGTTGGGCCCAAGTGTGAGCCACAACACTTTTCTCCACGCCCCGCTAAGGCACTTTCTGAAAATGCAGTATCTCCTGGTAACTTCTGCCATAACCGAGGAAACTATCTACTGATGATGTAAATCAGAGAAACGGGGCTAGAGAGTTCATCTAGTCCAGGACCATGGGCTGAGGCAGGACCCAGTAAACATAGACCATTTCTGTCAGTTGTTTGTTTAACTGGTTCTTAAAACCTCCAATAATGGAGATTCCACAACTTTCCTTGGAAACCTATTCCAAGTACTTAACCACTCTTACTAGGGATGTACATTTTTGATTATTTGCAATTGACATCAATTAGTCGATTTGCTGCACTTCAAAGGTGAAAGCACTGCGGGGAGCATGTGGCCAGCGGGCAACTCAAGCAGTCCCCCGCTGCCCCGTGTTCCCTGTGGCATCTCAAAGTGGCGGCTTTGCATGGAGCCTGGGGTCAGCTGGGACTCTGAGTCCCAAGCTGACTCTGGGCTCCATGCGGTGCTGCCTCTTTGAAACTCTGCAGGGAGCCCAGCGTCAGGCTCTATGTGGCGTTTCAAAGTGGCAGCGCCGTGTGGAGCCTGGGATCTGGTGCTAGACTCCACGCGATGCTGATGCTTTGAAGCACCTCTTCTTTGCCCCCCCTTGTTGCCTCTTTCTGATAGAGGCAGCAAGGGGGGAGAGGAGGGAAGTGACTAGTCGACTAACCTGTTGACTATCCAATAAGCATTTGCTTATTGAATAGTCGACTAGTTGTTCGCATCCTTAACTCTTATGGTAAAGTTTTTCCTCATATTTAACCAGAATCTCTGGCTGTAGATTAAGCTGACTATATCTAGTCTTGCCTTCAGTGCACATGGAAAATAATTGATAGATAGAGCCCTGCAAATCCGTGGATATCCATGAGTATCTGCATCACGGATATGGATGTGGATATCTATGGCTCAGTTTGCAGAAAGAGATGCAAACGCAGATATAAAATTGTGTATCTGCACAGGGCTCTAACAGTCGATCCCTATCCTCTTGCCAAAACATTAAGGGCTGTTGCAGACTGTTATCAGGTCCCTCCTTAGTCTTCTTTCCTCAAGACTAAACATGTCCAGTTTTTTAACCTTTCTTCATAGATCAGGTTTTCTAAATCTTTTGTCAATTTATTGCTGTGCTTTGGACTTTTTACAGTTTGTTTGCACTTTTCCAAAAGCATGGTTCCCAGAACTTGACACATTATGTCAGCCGAGTTGCATGGAATTATTACCTCCTATGTCTTATATGTAACACTCCTGATATATTCTGTAATGATATTAGACTCTTTTGTGGGTATATCACATTGTTGGCCTCTATTCTGAGGTGAAAGTAACTTTCTTACAGGTACTATTGTCTTGCAGCCCTGTGTTGGAGGGTGGGGACTCCAGGTATGGGAATGGGGGTGTATGCAATATGACAGTATCTGTAAGAAATTTAATAGTGCGGTGGAGTGCAGGTGACTATGATCAGGAGGTTGGGGTGTGTGGTTGTTTGGGGGGTGGTCTCAGAGCAGGGGCTGATTATGGGGGAGGTGCAGGAGTTAGGGCAGAATGTGTATGTGTGGAGAGGTGCGTGGGAGTGCAGGAGTCAAGGTTTGGGAAGGGGGGGGGGTTCAGGGGTCAGGGCAGGCACTAGGACTGTGGGGTGTGTGTGCAGAAGTCAGGGTTGGTGGTGTGAGGAGGGACTCAGGGCCAAGGATTGGGGTAAGGGGAAACGGGGCAGGAGGCTGGAGAGATGGGGAGGCGCAGAGCAGGGTGGGGATGAGAATGCAGGAGTCAGGGAAGGGGGTTCAGGGCAGGTGGCTGGGTGTATGTAGAGATGAGTGCAGGAGGAGGGGGCAAGAGCACCATTTTGGGAGCGTTTCTGTATATATTCCTCTCACTCTCAGCTGCCTAAGGGAGGGGCAGAGGAGGAATGCAGCATACTGTGCACTTTCCCCTTGCTCCCTGACAGCAGGGAGAAAGAGAAGAAAAGCAGCAGGGACCCAGTAAGTGCCACTGCAGTCCCCTTCCTGAAATGGCACCCAGGGAAGGGGTTTGGGGTCTAGAGCCAGTCCCTTTCACCGGCCTGGCTACCTTCTCCTTAGTGCAGCAGCCTGCAGGAAGCCCTGGGACCCAGGCTGGGAGCACGCCACCCCTCCCACTTCTTGCCAGAGAGCTACACTGGGATGCACTGACTCCCTTTTACCTTGGCTTCTACTGAATTGCTGAACCACTATTTCCCCCCAATCCTTTTTTCAGCATTACAACTGCAGAGCCAGTTATTCTTCTTCGAGTGATGTCCCCATTGGTGCTCCACTGTTGGTGTTGGGCTTGTCCCAGCGCTGCAGATTGGAGACTTTTTCAGCAGTATCTGGTGGGGCTGTGCATGCGTGGCAGGGGCGTGTGCCATGGGCACCCTTGGAGTTCACGCACGCAGCCCGACTCCTCTCAGTTCCTTCGTACCACCCTCGGTTGTAGACGGAGTTCGATCCCTCTCCTCTCCTTTGCATTCCTGTGTATGAGAAGAGAGTTTACTTACTTACTTAGTCAGTTTATAAGTGGTGTTCTAAGTTGTTTTAAAAAAAAGACCTTTTTCCCTCATTTAAATAGTTTTTCCTCAACGGTGTTGAGGAAGATTGCAGCGAAACTGGGCCCAACGACGGCCCCCTCGCAGAAGGAAAGAGAAGACTGCAAATTAAACACAAGGTTTTTGAAAGCTTAATATGGCAGCGAGAGGCTGCATGCCAGCAAGGCAACACCAAGACAAACTTAGTTAAAAAAAAACAAAGCTCCATGGAAGCACATAAAACAAAACAGAAAAAACCACAAAGACAGCAGAAAGAAGATAGTGCTGCAGGAAGGAACCAGACAAAATGCCTGGTTCACCAGGCTGTAAGAAATACAAGTGTCATGACCCAATGCCCGCTTCAGATAGCCACAGGTCTTGCATTTAGTGCTTGCGTGAGGCGCATGTCCCTCAGAAATGCGTGCTCTGTTGTAGCTTCACAGCCAGGGTGCAAAAGGACAGGGAGCTCAGATTGAGGATGCTCCTCTTTGATAAAGCTCTCAAGCCCCAGGTAGCCATGGAGAGGAGTACTCGGCAAGAGACCCACAGTAAACAAAAGAAACGGGCAAGCTCCCCCTCATCTAAGCCACCAGCTAAAAACAGGGTCTCTCCAGCTCGTTCCCTATCTCCCAGAGTCAGCACAAGAGATAAGCCA